TTGGGTATGGAATTCCTGTAGGCACATAAGCACATGAACACTGGATTAATATGTGGAGCAAGGTAACTGCTGCCATTTCTAACAGGAATTAGGTATTTGGTGTTGGTGGGAGTTCAGCATCCATGCTTCACTTTGCTTGCTCTTTAGCCACAACCAAAAGCTGAGATGGCTAAGTGGCCTCTTCATGTCAAACATAAGACTAATGCTCATGCACTGGACGAAGCGGAAAGGAATTTTCTTGTTTGTGCATCCTCTTTCTCTCTTTTACTCATCAACAGTAAAGAGTAGCACTGTACGTTTTCAAAAATTGTAAGCAAGAAACAAGAAGGAACCACTAGATGGCTGTATTTAGTAACAAAAGGCTGCTGATGCACTCTTAGGCTGCTGAAATTCATAAAAATACATTGTTATTTTGATCTATGTATCGATTGTTTCATGAAGAAATTAATGCTGACAGGATAATAAGTCAGGAAAACCTATTGAGACAGGATTATTGTCTATATCAGCAATCTTGATTATTCTGTGTATTAGTATTTGGGGTACTGCAGATGATGAGGGCTGTGGGGTGCAGCAAAGGGCAGAGTTCTGTGCAACTGCTCTTCACAAAACTGTGCTGAACAGGATGGCTGGGTCAGCACTGAACCTGAGCTAGTAAATCTTCATCTGACCTCTTGTAGCAAACCCTTACTTACAATGAAGGCTGAGGTGTTCAACGAGGCGTTCCCTGCTGGACTACAGTGAGGCATTCTTGGCTTATTTGAGATGATGCTGTGATTCCCAGTTGCAGCATACATACTGGTCAGCCTGTGGCTGTGTCCAGACATGCTGTTTGGCTTGGAGCAAAAGTAGCATCTCTCTACCCTTTCCACCAAAAGAGAAATCCATGGATACCAAAAGAGGACAGTTCTGAGTTAACTTTGGCTAACTGCTACATGTCCACTCAGAGACCTTCACCACCTCCTCCTCCCTCCTTTCTGCCTTCTCATTTCCCTGGGATTCAAATGAACACAATAGGATAAGAAAGCTTGTGGGCCAAGGTAAAGACAGGGAGGTTGCTTACCAGTTACTATAGCAAGCAAAACTGACTCAACTTAGGGAAAATCAATTTAATGTATTGCCAGTTAAAATAGATTTGAGCAGTAAGAAACAAAATGACAAACATTAAAAGAACGCATTTCCTCCCTCCTTTCCCAGGTTCAGCTCTATTCCTTCACTCCAGACCCTTCTACTCCCTCCAAGTGGTACAGGGCAGGTGGGGAGCATGGTCAATGCAGGGAGTACTCTCTGCTCTTTCTTCCTCCTCACACTTTTCCTCTGCTCTAGCATGAGTTTACCCACAGGCTGCTGTTTCTATCAGGAAAATCTGTTCTGATGTGGGCTCTCCATAGGGTGCAATATTTCAGGAATATCTCTCTGCTCCAGTGTAGATCCGATACACTGACAAGTACCTTCTCTTCCTTTCTCTGACCTTGATGTTTTCTCTGATGCTTCCCACTCTTTTCTCCCTCTTCCTCAGTCTCTAGAAATCACAGAAATGAAATATTTACTATGTCTACCTAACTTTGAGTTTTCTTCCAATGAATATTTGGGAAGGGCCTGTTTTTGGCTGTGCTGGGGAAAAGCACCCGAATGTTCTCTCAGTGCCCAGAGTTTCTGCAGCCCTGGGAGCATCCTGGACACTTTTGACCTCTCTTCAGCATCTCTAAAAGAATATCTGGAAGCTGTAGACTGGAAGATCTAGGTTTGTGTGAAATTTGGCAAGGCCATGGTACACAGATCAGGAGCTCCAAGCATCATGCCAGCAGGAGCTAGCTGCGGCGCTCCTCGTGGGAGGTACAGTCTGGGCCATTGGGGTGGTTTGCCACAACTGCTGTGCCAATCACACTTGCTGATGGTAGTCCTGAGCTGATGAGGAGCTCATCCAGCATGTCTAACAGGGCAAGAGAGCTACTGGACATCTCTTAGTGAGGGCCTACTGTACAGTCAGTAACAGTGAAGTGCCACAGAGGAAATGAGATTCCCTCTGTGTGTGTGTTTCAGCAAATAGTGACCAAGAAAAATTTTGCATGGCTTAAGAATGCAAAAAGCAGGCTTGTTTCCTGAAGGAAGGCTGGTTGTCTGTATATTTGTTTATTGTACTTCTGTGGACATGGGCAAACAAAAAATTGTTTTATTTCACTTAGTAATCCCATGTTGATCTTTGTTAGCCACATTTCAAGGTGTGTCTGACTTATATCTCTTGCTATATCCAGCTATGGATTCATAGTCCAAGTGATAAAATGGCAAGGTTGCATCTCTATTTGCTAATAGGTGTTTCTATCTGTACAGTAAGGTCTCTATGTTGAGCTGTTTCTCTGCTCCATGTTCCTGAGTTTTGTACACCACCACAACAGAAAAGGCAGCCAGTGGGCTTTGTGAGACATGGTGTATCTCTGATGATGTGGATAGTGGTTATACTGTGTGGTTAGCATGATAGAATAGTCTTTTCAAAGATGACAGAAGGGAATTTGGAAATGGGATAACATTTCCCTTTCCACCTTAGTGTTGCTGTATCTTGGAACACTTATTTCCCAAGCCTGGTTGTGGCCTTGTCTCACTATCAAATCAAGGTAATGATAGTTTTTTGGTGCTTCTGCATATTACAGTGAAGTAATATCTCTTCTTCTATGTAGAAAATCCAGTAACTCATGCCTAGAAAATCACAGCAAACTCTTGTTCTCAAATAAAAGGAGAAATATTTTCTGCCAACAAAAAAGGTATCACTGTGGTCAACTGAGACTACAGTGAAAGACAGAAACAGAATATTTGTGGTCACTACAACCTAGAAAGTCCGACTTCAGTTCATTTACTTTGTTTGTACTTAGCAAGCCTATGAAATGCTTTTGAATGTTACTTATCCTGTCAGCCAATCAATTCTAGGTACTTTCTGAACCAGGACCTTAGTAACCTAAAATGTCTACAGTGAAACTTGAAATGATGCACTGAATCCAGTGAACTGTGCAAATAGAAAGTAAAAAAAAAACAAAAAAAAAACAAAAAAAAAAAAACCCACAATAAAAATGAAATCTTATGCCTACAACACATGCAAGTTACCTGTAGGTGAGTTACTTTAATGGTTTCCCATGACTTGGCAATGTGTCCGTACCACTTTGAGCAAATGTGAAGCACATGCATCCCAGAGCAAAGGAGGTGACTGTTGGGTAAGGATCACACTGTTAAGAATAGGGCCATAAGTTATGATGGTCTCACTCATCTGTACTGCAGTCCAAGCACAATAGTAACACCATATCCCAGAACAACAGGATGAAAATAAAATCTCATGCATGCTACTTGGCTGTGCAAGATGTTGCCATCTAGCATTTTCTGAAAACTGTTGTGATTCCCATGGAAATAAAAAGGAAGTGTTACTTTTGGAGTGACCTACATAAAATATTTATCTATTAAAAAAAGTTGTAGAGTAAATACTGTTTTGTTTCTTTTACCACTTAGAAATCAAAACTTTTTAAAAAAAACTTCAAGAAAGGAGACTGAAAATCATTTAAAGGGGCTAAGAACTGCTTTCATAAAGAATACTGAAATTGTTGAAACCTGAATGTTTGAATTGTCACCAAAGAACACTATGCAAACAATAGGAATTTGGCAAAAGAAATCAGACCTGCAATTGGCCTAACTTGGACTTGCAACAGATCATCTGATAATGTCAGGAATTTCTCCTCTCCTTTTTATCTAAAATAGCATTTTGGCAAAACTGATGTGATATTGTGAAACACTGCTTTGACAGCACTGCTTTTTTAGTTCAGAATGTTCTGTTAAATGTTTGTTTTTTTAATCAGTCTGGATGTGACTACCTTTTTTAATGCATTTTCGTCATGACTCTAGAAATGGGAAACTCGCCTCTACAAACAGGTAAAGGAAAATCTGTTATTTTCTTGAGCAAGTTTTTTCCACCTGTTTTTTTCTTGGAGATATCTAATTCTTGGATAGGCCATTTAATCACTTGTTTTAAGGCCTTTTTTTTTCCATTGATGAGATTTTTTTTGTTTTGTTATTGTTTTTCTGTAGAGCAGCTTGTTTCTAAATAGACTAGATAATTTTGTTGTTATTATTATTGTAAATATAAAGTATTTTAAAGTTCATTGTGCATTTAGAATGTGAAAATTGTGGCTAAATTTGAAAAGAGGAAAAATACAAGGCAGTTCTGAAGTATTACTGCACCCCAGTTACTAAGCATTATTATCAGAACTCAACAATATAACATTCTTACTTCTGTGTCCATATCTGATACAAACTTTTACACAGGTTCTTACTTCTTTACCTAATGCAATTAAATGTAAATACTAGTTAGAGTGACAGGTTAAGCACTGGTGCATTCTGAAACAGTACTGTGGTACCAAAAAACCTCTCTGCCCAATCAGATTGGGTTTCTGATTACCTGTAGAAAATCTGTTATGTGCTGCCATGGATTAAGAAAAAAGCAGTGATGGAGAGTGGCAGCCAAGCTGCACACTAGCCACCAAAATAACTGGCCCTCAGTGGGAGAATTGGTGCACCTTGTCGACCATGACATCTGTCTTCAAAATCTTGTAGCAAATTCTCACACAGTGTCTAAGTATTTTTCTACAGCTTTTCGCTACTCCAGCAGTGAGATTTGAATGTTGATTATTGTATATTGTATATTATTGTATGTTGTATAATACATTCAAAACGAAACTATTGGAGTCAGCTGAGGAAACCTGATTTTTTTAGCTGAGGCTGAAGTAATTTAATCAAATTTATACCTTTGTCTTAGTCTTTCAGTAAATGTATGGCTGTTCTTCCACGGTAAGTCACGTGAAACTGGTGACTGCACATTTATTTATAAGGCTTCATAAATACTTGTGCAAAACTCTTTTTTGTTGTTGTTCGGCTTAATGTCATAGTGATAGAAATCGGTATAAATTTCCCATGAAAGAAAGAATTACGCAAGCGTACTCCAGAGACTTTTCTTATGCCGCACAGTGATTTATTTACTAACTTTTTGAGTACTTACATCGATTGCCAGTAAGTCTCAATTCTGTATGTATTTTCTAGTAACATGACCAGAACTCATACAAATTCGGAGAAAACACGTGATTGCAGCTTTCTCAAATAGGGAAATGAGGGATTTCTTAAGAGTCCCAGATAATCTTGCATCCCCCTCGATGAAACTGCTTGTTCTGATGACAGATAGAAAGAGAGCTGTGATTATGAACCTCTCTTTAGAGCTTGCTGATCACCACCCTAGCTCTGACCACCATTTTCTCTTACAGAAACATCTTACCTTCAAAGGATAAGGGTGTCTTTTGCTCATCGCACCAGCACTAGGCGACATCATTAGATAAATATGCTTCCATGTGACGTCTCAGACACCTTGTCTAGTTTACGAAAGTCTTATACAAAGCAGTGTCAATGTGAACACTATTTAAAAACAAAAGAAAATAAAAACAACAAACAAAAAAACTCCAACAAACTGAGGCGTTGATAGGTCAGATGTTCTGTATAAGATATGTGGGAAATTTGTGGGAGGCTCAAGAACAGAATTAATCTGTCTGGAATTCCCACATAACCCACAAAATTCTCTTATTCAGATACAAGACTCCAGAAAAGATTCATAGACAATCTGAATATGCGGAGGTGTTGGGGCAGGTCTAAAGGATGACCATAAAGATGATCAGAGGGCTGGAGCACTCCTACTATAATGAAAGGTTGAGGGAGTTGGGATTGTTCATCTTGGAGAAGAGAAGGCTCCAGGGAAACCTAATTGCAATATTTCAATACTTGAAAAGAGCTTACAAGCAGGAAAGGGTTCGACTTTTTACGCAAGTAGATAGTGGTAGGACCAGAGGGAACAGACTTAATCTGAAAGAGGGAGGTTTAGGTTAGATGTTAGGGAGAAATTCTTCACTCAGAGGTTGATGAGGCACTGTCTCAGGCTGCCCAGAGGGGTTGTAGATACCCCATCCCTGGAGGGATGGCCAGGCTGGATGGGTTCCTTGGCAGTCCAGTCTAGTTGTTGGCAACTCTGCCCATGGCAGGGAGATTGGAACTAGATGATCTTTGCAGTCCCTTCCAACACAACACATTCTGTGATTCTATGATTCTATGAATAGTAAGTTGTTGTAATTGAACTCCAATGTCCTTGAGTCCTCTCTTCACATAGTGCATATTTTGTTCACCTTCTTCCTGTGTACGTGGCTGTAAGTAGTACACATTCAATGTACTACACAAAATGTACCTTGCTGCTCATGGATACAGACTGTTGTGTGTACCTTTAGCAACTGGCACAAATTGCCATAGGCAAATTCTTGTATGAAATTATGTATGTTTTTTTTTTAAAGATGTGGCACATAACGTCACTGATTAAAACAGATGAAAAAGCCAGCTGTCAGACAATGATTCAACTGCTCATCTGGAACCCAGGGCACAAGGTCAAGTACTTCCCCTCATTCAACCGCACACAATACCCATGGTTACTCTGTATTTTTAGCTTCAAGAGTTTTCTATCTTTGGTACTGGTTTGTGTGTTGTTTTTTGGTTTTTTTTCACCAGCAATCCCAGCATCAGTAAAGTTTCGAAGTGAAGAGCTGCCAGGAAGCTCTCTTGGAAGGCTTCTGGTGTTAACCCATATGCTGACGTACCTCCCACACTCAGATCTGCAGGGGTGGTAACAAGAGATTTCAAGCTGCTGGCACAGGGCACCCCTGTGCTCCTCTGGCAGACATGCAAAGCCATGTAAATCTATATGGTGTTCCACAGGCAGGTAGAGGTGACACCTCCCTCAGGGAAGCAGATAGCAGTGGAATTTTCTGGGGCCTTCCTTTAAGGGAGAACTGCAGGATATTGATGAGCAGCATCCTGCCTGACTCGTGATACTCCCAAGAGTGGTAAGAATTTTAATGGCTGCTCAGGTCAGTTTCAGTAACAACACTCTAATTTGCATGAAGCTTGAGAAGGGGTTCTTCTCTGATCTTCTCATTTTGCTATTTTAATCAATTCATGAGTACGCTTTAGTACACAGACCCTTCTCTGCTGTGCTAGTAACTCAGCCTTCAAAGCAATGGGTTTAGAACTGTGCACTGCCAAGGCAGAACTGGAGGCAGTCAGTGCTCAGGAAAGTATGAGTTGTTTATCTGGTTCATTCTAGTTACATTATCTCTCTTTTTCACTTGTAGAAAGAAACATAGGTCAAATCTCTCCCAAAGGTCTGAAGAGTACTCCATGCTTTAGTCCTTCTTGGAGTATTTGTATAATGCAGAGTCAGCTACTGAAGCTTGTGCCTTTTCTCCACCTTCAACAGACACTGGATTCACCTGGATCTCCTTTTATGAAACAGAGAAAATTACTGAAGAGGGAGGCAACATATACACATGGTACCTATGTGACACCTCAAGCTGAAAACAAAAACAGTGTAGCGTAACGGCAGGAAGTGGTTCTTGGGGGAACAATTTTCCCAGGCTCTTGTGCCATTTTAAACCTTGCTCACCTAAGCAAAACACTGAAAGTCTTGAAGAATCCTCACGGGCTGACAACTCTGTGAGACAGTGTAGGGGCAAACTGCCATCTGTTCAAGGTAGAGGAAGAGAAAGGGCACATGCATACCTCTGTGGAGGTGCCTCCTCAGCAAAGTCAGGTATCAAAGAAGTCTGCGGAGGACTACAGATGACTGGGTAGTTTCTCTGGAAAACCTGAGTACCTCTTTTCATTGGCCATTTGGTAGTGTTCTTTAGTGAGTTACAAATCAAACTTAATCTTGTGCCAGGGTGGCAGCAGGGCAGCTTGTTCTGACTGGCAGGAGATAAGATACGGCTGTACGCCCACATCACATTCTCCAAAACATAGACACCTCATATGCCAGACCTGCCTTGCCCAGCTGAGGGTCTGACTGTGTGAGGCAGGGGATGGGTGCAGCTCATGCAGAACAGCTGTTTCTGCGGCCTCCCTTGGCTCTTCCCAGAGGACAAGCAGGTCTTCAGCACTTTCCACTGAAAACAGATGCAGCAATAAGTGAAAATAGCTCAGCACAAAGCCCAGTGCCTGTGTGTGCTCCCGAGCACAAAGTGGATTAAAGCTACTTGCAGCTGTGTAGGCTGCTAATCTCTTGGTGGAAACATTTCTTAATTCTGCAACAGGTGGCCCTGAATAACCTCCTAGAAAAAATCAAGAACTTCTTCCCTCTTGGTGTCACTCTTTCTTAGAGGCAGAGAAGCAATACAAGAGAACACAGGCGAGCAGCCACAACCGTGTCACCTCTTTTCCAACTAACAGTGACTTGTCCCCATCAGCACATAAACAGAAACATGGGCATCTGCAACATTTCATCCTTGGTCTTTCACCCGGTCTTTGACTACAGAATGGTGGTCAGTTGAAGACAAAATGCTGCTGTTGCTGTAAACCGTGTTTAAATATACTTACACTGAGCACCTTAGCAAATCACTAAAATTAAAAAAAAAAAGAAAAAAAAAAGACATGGCACAAAAAAAGTCTGTCCCTGTTAGATATTTTCAAACATTTAGGCTCATTCCTTGGGAGCTGTGAAGTCCTGCAAATTTCTCAAATCAATTGTGGTGCTTGTTTGCACCAGAGATGACAGCAGGCAGCAGGCTGCTGGCCAAGCAGCCAGGAGGCTGCGGTGAGAGAGAAGGAGGCAAAAAGTTGCTAAAAGAGGAACTGGGAAGGGGAATCTGCCCACAGGGAAACTTTTCACAGCTGGCAGTGTCACAGCACTCTCACTGTGAGACGGCGGCTGTGCAACCACAAACTAATGACTCGAGGTCCACAGTACTCACAACACCTTCCCGGCATGGACAGGCAGCAATGAGCCTCTGACACTGGAAAGCGCAGAGATGAAGATATCAGGACTCCAAAACAGATGGGAGACCATGCATACAGGGAAACTGTGGAGATCTGTCACCCCGTGGAAGATGGTGGAGTGGTGGGAACAGAAGGTACCTTTTGGGGATATCAGACGGATGTGCATGGTATGCTGACTCCAGCCACAGGCTTACTTCCCGTCTGATGTTTTTGCTTAAGAAATGGATGGAAGTACCCTGTGACACTTTGGAGAAATATGAGAATATTTTCACATCGCTTGGAGAGATGTGGTTGGAAATGTAAGCTACATCTGAGTCAACTCAAGCTGAACTGAAATAAAGAACAATTGAGATTTATGTATAAACATTTGATCCTCGCGTATATGAACGTGTGAGAGACTCCTAAAGTGTCTGAGGAGCAAGAAATATTTTCACGTGGGAAAGGAAGAGGTTGCATGAATCACACCATGCTTCCAACTTAGATTTTATAGTAGTGATGGTTTAGAGAGGAGAGATACAATCTACAAGTTGGTAGAATTTATTCTTGAAACATGTCTGTGGAAATGCTGTACCTAGGACAAACGAAAGAAAAGAAGTATAAAAAAAAAGTTATCTAAGTCTGAATAAACCACTTTGTTTAGCAAAACATCTGTATGATCTATTTAAGTCAGTATTGTAATGATAAGCCACATTAAATCTGTGCAGATAAGTCAGCACAAATGGTTTGTTTCCCTCATGTCACTGGGGAGGAGGAGTCTGTATAATTACGAGGCCAAGGACAACTAGGAGACATTTGTCAAAATCATCCTTGATTTCTTTCACACGGGTATTGAACAAATGACATCAAATCTGTTTTTGTGGTCACATTCCCCCGGATAGCAGAGTATGGGCATGGTCCAAGAAGAAGAAGTGGAGGTGCTGCTAGGTGGCTCAGTGGTACACCACAGCATCCCTGGGAGAGTGAAGGAAGACAAACAGAGAAAGAGCCCCTGTACTGCCTGTTGGCACAGCGATCAGACTCATCCAGCCTGGGTGAGTATTTAAATGTGGATTTATTATTAAGATCTTTTATTTAGATGTGTGGGTTTTGATCAAGCCAGAAGTGGGAGGACAAAAATAACCATCTGTAGGTTGGAAAAAATCACTTGTCACTTGTTGAGGAAAGTCAGGTTATTCTGTGACAATGCCAGCATGGTTTCTGGGTGTGGTATGACTTTTCCTGTTTCTCACCATTTTCAATGAGATGATGCCTTTTAGTTTCAGTGATTAACTTAACCTGATAAACTTAATTCTGGTGACAAAATAAACATAGCTGCAAGCAAGATCTCATTTTCCTCTCACTACTTGCTTTGTTTAAGCAACCTGTTATTTGTAGAGGAAAGCAAGGTAGAATGTAAGTGTATGCTGTCCCTTGCTTTTACCTATGCTTTCAGTAACATTGTATTGTGCCAGGCAACAATTCTATGTTAAGATTTTGACATAACATACAATGATATTGAAAAAAATCATATGTTGTTTTGGTAACTTTACAAATGGGCAGAAGCTGCGTCCCTTTAATAAAAAGTCAGCAAAACCCCTCTGCTTTCTCTCTTCATTTTGATCACTGTTTTTGTCGGCTTGTGTGGTTCTTCTTGGCAATTAATTTTGTTTAAAGAGACAACATGTTAATCTCATGTAGTCACAAATACAAACCTCTTTTTTTGCAAATGCCCAAACCAGCAGTGGGCCTCTTTGGAGCCAGCTTGAACAGGCTCTTGTCTGCTATGGGCATCTGCTGAGCTCTCTTCACAGAGACCACCCCCCTGCAGCCCCCATGCTAACGAAACCTTGCCATGTGAGACCAATAGAAGAATGAAGAGACAAAAGTTACTGTTCAGACCTACTAGATAAAAATATTCTGGTGACAAATGGCCCTGAGGTGTCCTCAGTCCTGAGAGCCCCAACACAGAGTCATTGGAGATGAGAGGGACGTGGAAATCAGATAAATGGACATTGCTCTTGAAAAAAGGCTTTCCTTTGGTTGTTTCCAAGCACAGATCTGACGCAACCCCACCACTGAGCAGGACCAAAGAAATATCCACTACACAAAACGTTAATAGAGAGAATGTGTGTAAGAATAGGAGTTTTTGTTTCTACTTCAGGGATGCACTATCCTCTGCTTTATCCACATGGGAGTGGAGGCAGAAAGCCCTCGCTGTTTTGCTTATGCTCCTAGGTAAACCTCAGTGCAAATACATGAATTACTATTTCTTAAATTAATGCTTTCCTGCTGAAAGTTTTCAGTGTCCTGGTGGAGGAAATCCATAACACATCATTTTCTCCTATTTAACACAGGAAAAGAATAATATATAAATTGCTTTTAATCATGTTTGTAGTTTGTTTAGCCTTGGTACAACACAACAATTAAGTGGAACTACAAATAAAAGCCATCACATTTTCCAGGCTGAAAGAAAAGGAACCTTTTCTCTGCTGTGTGGGAACAACTCAGCAGCAGGAATATGGCAGTGGAGCTGGATGAATTGTGCAGACATGTAGGAGGAGAGAACTTTCTGCATTACCACATTTTGCCAAAACCTGAAGGTTGAACTGTAAGCTAGTACACACGATGTGTCATCCATTAGTTCATTTGACATCTGAGTTGTTTCTTATAGTGTGACCACTTCTCACCCACATACAGGGATTGAAACTCCCCGAAGTCTAGTGCAGGATGGCAGAAGATGTGGTAGTTTACACGTTTGGGACAGAGGATAGGTAAAAAATTTGCCTGGTATGAAACTTTTCTAAGGCCTTCACTTTGTTTATGTTTCATGGGGTTTAGATGGGTATACAGGGACTAATAAAAGTTAATGTTATTGGTGAACTTTTACGCTGTGTTATACCACTGTAGGTCAATTTTGACCTGTGTAAAATGATTAGATCTTTTCAATATAATTTCATTTTACAAAAACAGCATGTGGACATTTATAGGAGGAACTTAGCAATATTTTGGACTTCTTCGCTTGTCCAACCTGCAATCACGTTGAGAGAAAATCAAAGGTTAGCAAAACTAAAGGCAATCAAGAATTTTTATCATCAAATTCAACTCAGAAGTAGTAAGCATCTCCTCTGGAGGTAAACAATTCTAAATAATGCAAAGGTGAAAAGTGTTCTGTAAACTTCCTGGTTTTTTTTTTTCTTTTTTTTTTTTCAATTTGTCTTACCTGTAAGTGTAATGGGAAGTGCTGTTCTTATGTGATATAAGTAAATAACATCACTTTTCCTGAATCCAACTTACACCCGCAAATCTTGCAAAAGTTACTTAAAGCACAATTGCTCCTGTGATTCCACGTTAATTAATAAAAAACATGCTTTTCTGACATCAGTTTCTAGTATGATTTGTAAAAGGAATAATGTAGACTTCTGTGAGGTACTTGCTTCAATAGTATACAATGTTGTGTCAGAAAAATACAGAAACTCTCACTGCAAAAAAACAGCGTGCACTTTGAAATGGAAAACTTATAAGTAGGTTGGCAGTAAGTAATCTTCAGCACATGGCTTCTCTACTTATTTTCTACAGAGATCCTTGCCAGATTTGGTCTAATTCAACTTTTTCTTCTGTGGGAAAGACTAACAGAATGGTAAAAATTAAAGAGACGGAAGAGTCTGTAAAACAGTATAAAGTAGATGGATTAGCAGTCCAGACCCGCTGGAACAAACACATTTTAATACAGGAGAATTATAACCTGAAAACAACAAAGAGGGTAGGAGGGCACAACGGGCAAATATCTTAGCATGAGTTTGTTTGTTGCAGAGGTAAAAAAGAATTATGCAGTTTGTGGATGTATAAACAAGCTAGGAGAAGTGGTTTTTCCCCTGTATTTCTCATTGCTGAGATCTTTTTTCCATGGTAGTAATTCTAAGCTTTTACTGGTACTTCCCAATTCTCACTGAGATTACAATTTTATCTTTATTAGGAACATTTTTCCACTGCAAGGAGGGTGTTTCTTCTTTGATTATGGCAATAAATCACCACAGTAATAGCTAACAGCCAACTAGAGAGGAGATGAACTTCTCACTTTGCTTCCTTGTTCACACCACAGTGGTTTATTTTCATCTCCCTTGATAACTTTGAAAACCTCAGAGTAAATAAATGGTCAATTATATCCCCCCATTCATAACCTTTATCATTGCATAAGCTGGATACAAACTCTTGCATACATCTCTATGATTCAAAGAAGCTGAACCAACCAGAAGTAATTCGCAGAACTATGCCCAGTGCTCCAGCTTGCAGTTTGACACCATTTTGCTCTGTTAGGAGGAGAACTGATGATAGAGACATGTGGTTCTATGATGCAATTCCATCTACAGCAAAGGAAAAGCCTGTTTCTTTAAATGTATTATTAATGCAAGTGGAGCAGACTTTGTCCTTGGTAACAGTACCAAGTGTCTTGCAGTTAACACTCCGTCCAAACAGTCCTGCCTTCATATTACTGCACTTACACTGGTTTCCTACACTGGAAACATACAGGGCCTGAGCTGGGAATTTTTTGGGAATTCAAATACATTTCTTCAACACTCAAAGAAACTGTGGAAATGGTACGTAACTGTTTAGTGCAGGGACGTGTATCTTGCTCCACATGCTCCATCTGGGCAAATTTCATCCTGGTTCTTGTATGTCCAAAGAATACCTGGAAGAAAACACAACAACTTAACTTCAGAAAAATGAAAAATTTTCTAAAGTTGAGCCTCAATTGGTCCCAAAATTACATTGTTGGAGGGAAGCAAGCACATCATCAATACAGATAGAAACAGTAAGTATAATTATTTAAGTACCAGACATTTCACCCCAGGATTGGGTGGGGTTGGAGATTCATGAGCCTTGAGGTCCCTTTCAACCCTGGCCATTCTGTGATTGTATGATCTTTGATTCTGTGGTGTCAGCGCATATTGTAATCATTAATCAGTTAAATGTCATAACTATTGAGAGGAGTTATGTGTTACTCCTTTAATTTCTTGCAAAACAAATATATATTCATGGATGGTTAAGTGCCTCAGAGACACAAGGAATTTCATTGATTTTGGGAGGCACTAGTTGCTATAAGTTATAAGCATTTTCATGGCTTGTTCAGCATCAAAATCTGATTAGTTAGTGAGTTACAAAGTAAAAGATAATCTGCATATTGCCCTAATTTTATAGCTTTCTTCAAGGAGAAACATCAACTTCGACATGGTGTGTGGGATTCATCTACTCCAGCGTCACCTTTGCAGAGTAAACATCTACATCTGAGCTAGTCATCTGTGTGCCCCTTATAGTCAAGTGAAGGAAAGGCAGCTGAGATTAATTCCACCCTGGGTGTCTGCACTGCAAAAGCAGAACACCAAAGTGCAGCCTACACCAGCCGTGGTCATCCACTTACCCTTGCCTTTCATATTTGCTATCCCGAGATTCACCGGAAAAAATTACAAAGTGTATCCAGGGGATTTCCATGCAGTCCTTGATGCTATCTTTAGAGTGCTCAAACGGAGTTGCAGAATAAAGAACTTGTTTGTACTTTTTCTTGTGTCTACTTGTCTCTGCTTCACTCAGCTGAAAACAAGAAAGTTTATAGATTAAACACTTACTGGTTCCACATGCCTGTGAAGTTACCATCTCCTGTTTTTGCTGTCCTCTCTGATGTCCTGCAATTATTTTCCACTTATTACAGGCTTTGCTGGATTCATACTATATATTGATGATATTTCCCCTATTGCAGTATTTAAACAGGTTTGTTCAATTTTTACAAATTAGCATGTACTTTCAAGTATCTCGTTCCTTTTTAACTGAGCAAAAATAAGTCATAATCAATATGGTTTAGATATGCTTTCCCTAGCAGTGATAATGTTTAGTTACACCCTGAAACATAACAAAAAATGCATACTAATAAAAAGACTTGAAGAGCAAACATTGTTTTGGCAGCTGTACGATAGATGTTATTAGTGCAAGCTGAAACTTCATTGTGGGGAAGAAAAAAAAAAAAGAGAGAGATAAAGCCTATCTTTATTTGCAGCTGAATTTGATGAGTTTAATTCAAAGTTATTTCCAAATAGGAAGCATTGTCAGCTCAAAGAGGTATAAACTGAAATATGGAAGGTCAACCCAAAGCAGAGCTCAGCCAAACTTCTGCATTCTTACAGAAGAAGCCGTCTACAAGATGAAGAAGGCAAACCCAAGTAGGAGTGTTTGGGGCTGGATGTTTCCAGCAAGCTGCACTTCACACTCTCTCACCTTCTCTGAAGTGACAGATTGGAGGAACACATCCTCCCCCAAAAACTGACCCCAGGAGCACCCTGACTGTTGTGGCAGTGGGAGACAGCAAGACAGAATTCACCAGGAGAGAAAGGGAGACCACCACAAGCACTCTGGGGAGCTGAAGCTGGAAACCTACAGCATGTGTAGGTGCTTCTGTAAGTGCATGTGTAGCTGTGGTGAAAAGTATCATGAAGCTCTGTACAACGCAGATCAGCTTGTCCTTGGTCACAGCTGCTGGTGGGTTGCTATTCTGGTAGAGGAAAACCAGCCTGGATCAAAGTACACGTGAGGTAACTTAACACTGTAGTGACCTTACAACGTGAGGACACAAGGAAAACAAAAGCCTCGAGGAGGACTGAACTCATGTAGCCCAGAGTGGATGTCTGACCTAGGCCCAGCGCAGGAGAGAAAAGCAAAGCTCACGTCTGAAGTAACAGCAAAGCAAACTGAAAGTCAGTGAGTTATATAATGAAATCCCAACAATATGAAACTCTGCTTTAGTAAGTCTTCCCTGCTGAGCACCCAAAAGAAAGAGCGAGAGAAAGAAAATTCAGGTGATGAACATGTTAAATTTGACATTCATGTAGCCTCGAGTCTGGCAGAGCCCAAGCTATGTGCCTGCTCTGAGTAATGCATTGTGAACTTTAGTGGTGCACACGACTGATATGACTCATGCACAGGAGCACTGGCAAGTACTGGAGGATCCAAGCACCTGCCCCAGCACCAGTCTTCAAAGAGATCTGCTCTGCTGAGGGTCAGCATTCATGGCTTTATTACTGCCCCCAAACTTCCCCTTTTTTTTTTAAAAAAAAAAAAAAAAAAAAAAAAGTCTCTGGAAATGATTTTTTTTTCTTTTAGGCAGTAGATGTAGGCTGGTCTAGACATGCACGTGATTGTGAAACAGCGTGCAACATCATCTTTTTTGCTGGCTGTGTATCAATAATATGTAATTGAAAAATGATGTGATCTGTTCCCTCAAGTAAAAATGCTTTATCTTCATTGCAGGCTATAAATTAGAGGGTAAGTAAGCTACAAGCTATCCTACTGGAACCTCGGTCAGGCTACTTTTCTTGCTTTTTAAGTGACTATGCACTAAGGACCACAGAAAAAGATGAGATGCCTAATTACCATTACATTGTAATGAGCAGCTAGTATAAGGTGTGTCATTATTTACAAGAGGACTTAACAGCCAGGTCTGCTTACTTAGGGATGTCTTTGCGGCATGTGGGTTCCAACAGCAGCAACTGAATGCCTCTTTTTTCACTCCAGAACACATAAACGGAAGTAAGAGACTGTTTGTGTAAGATACTTGGCCAAATTCCCATCCTAATTTTCCTACAGAAAATCTAGAGTAAAGTTGCTGAAGTCCTTCAAATTATTAAGGGTTGACATATACAGTATAAATGTTAACAGATCTCACAGCAAAATGTTTACCAGCCATCACTTTGGCACACCCTCTTGTGTCACGAATATCAGACAAGAGGAAATGAAATGATTGCTTCAGTCATTCATTTTAGTAAGTGGGAATTCTGGCCACGTGTTCTCAGGCTGCACAGTGCTTCATGCTACGGCCAGGCCTTGTCCCACAGTACCTGAGAGCAGCCAGTGGCAGAGGTGCTTGTTTCAAAGTGAGGAACACTGCACAGGGCTGCCATGCTCGGAGCAGAGCCCCAGCTCACCAGCTGGGCTTTACATTGTAAATGAGAAGGGAATTTTGACCCCTTCTTGTGACGTGCCACTGAGCAGCGGCTTTGAAAAAAAGAACGGGGTGGGAATTGGATGAACTCACCATATGCAGTTGTATTAGATCATATGAATCCCTTGAAACAAAGCCATAAGTAGAGGATAAAACCTAAGTTTCCCCCACGGTAATTCACCAGGGGAAATCTTACTTCCTGCCCAACATCATGTATTTGTACCAGGCACTGACAAAAAAAAAAAAAAAAAAGTGTGGGGAGGAAAAACGCGAATAAATAACAGAAAGAATCATTGCTGTCAGAGATCAAGGGTAGTGGGAGGGGGAGAGATTACGTACACAGTGCTCAGTTTAGTGAGGCCGGAGGAGGGGGCAGTCTGCATAGCACGCCGTAGGCTGTCTTTCATTATTAGACACAGGGAGTTTTTTGAAAATTAGCATCAGTACAAAAAGATGTCATCATAAAACTCCCAAGCAAAATTACCTGCTCTTATTTCAGGTTTCTGTTTGACCAACATTAAAGACATTCTAATATATGTACATGAAGGATTTTTTTTATCTTTTTAATGACTGTCTTGGTAACCTGAGATGCTGCTGCACTGTGCTCATCAGGTTGCCTATAGCAGCAGCTCACTGGCAGAGGGAAGTGGCAGAGGGCATAAGGGGACTGCAGGGGACTGACCAGCTCAGCTTCACTACTCCTTGGGAAGACTATGGTGGGCTTCTCCAAAATAACCACAGCTGACCAAGGCAAGGGGAATTAACAAAGTGGCAGCTCAGTTAAGTCTCTTCTGAGCATTTTCTCTTTCTTCCTGTGCTTCCAACTCTTCTGAACAAGGCGAGCGTTGGTATTACCAGTGTTTATCACCAATATGGGAGACAGCAGCAGCACAGAGATTACTGACCAAGCTCATGTGAGCACATTGAATCTGCTCCCACCAGGAACAAGTTTGCTGCACTGCTCATTAAATACAGGCAACTGAAAAGTGTTCTTTCTTATTTCACATTTATTTTAAGCTGAAATCTTAACTGCTCAGCATTGTGGTTTTCTTTTTCGGTGTTTTGCATATTATACTATTGTGTCCTATTCAAGTATGCTGGATAAAATTACATAATTGCTCTTCCCCCCCATGCAAAACTTGCATCATATCACTATGCTAAGCCACTTATTTTACAAGGATTAAACAAGCAAGCATTTTTACTTCTTTCAGTAAAGTAGGCCTCCTTCACACAGCCACTTGAAAGTCCCTGTTGCACCTGTATGGAAGAGAAGGTTAGAGCTTTCTCACCCAATCCTGGGTGAGAAAGATTCCTAAATGTATCCAGAGAGCTTCAGTCTCACTGGGATCTTTTTAATGTGTGTATCCAAATTGCTGAATTGCCTTTTCTCCTATTCCTACCATTGTCAGTGTATGGGCCATCCTATGGGATGTTAAAACTGGTTTTTGGTGCAAAAAGTTGCCAAACTACAGCTCCAGATGAAGTTACTGAGACTTAGCTGAAGAGCTGTGTAGCTGCATTTGCAACACTGAGCAATGTGTGAGCCAAAGAAATTGTTACCAATGCTTTATTTTAGACACTGAAAATGTACCAGTGACACGCTGATCCATAATCCAAAAACCTTGGGAACTACTGCTATAGGAAAAAAGAGATGGATATCAATTCTGTTGAGCAGCTGGGGTTTCTTTCTCCCAGAAGAAATGAAAGCAATTCCCAAGAATTTGCTTTAAGCATGCACTTCCAATTTACAACCAAAGCATTGAGGTATCTTAGGGGTGCTGACCCAAGCTATGGGTGCTGAGTCCTAAGACCACTTCAACTCACTGGTTTGTGTCCTTGTGAACTGCCCTGGTGCCTAGCCCAGGGCCATTCCCCATGGGAAGTTTGGAACATGTTAATGTAGATCTGTGGCCAGAATATGGCTTCAGCTGGCCTGTCACTCTTCAGATCACAGGCCACTGGCTGTGTCACTGTGCATTACTCCTGCTCCAAAGGCCCATGTTTTGCCTAACAGATAACATCTAGATCATCTATCTTCTCAGTCAGGAAGAATTACTGAGTCTATCTACAAGTATTCCTTTATTTAGGGATTCATTTTATTAATGAACACGTAAGCACAGCCTGCAAAAACGTTCCATTCCTGTACCATGTCATAAGGAATTTCCACTCAAAAAAGAATCTAGGAAACACTGGTGTCTCAGCAAAGGGGCTTCTTTCTCTAAGTGGTCTCAAAAAGGGAGAATCCAAATGAAAGCTCCCTCTTACAGAACAGGAAGGAAAAAAATACTTGAGGAGCTGTGCAGACAACAGAAAGCACGAGAGGGTCAAAATCCCCTCAGGGCATTAGGGAAATACCAAAGTATTAAAAAAAAAAAAAAAAGGCACTAATATCTTTAAAGTTCCCACACGAGTCAGTCATAAGAGACAGGCTGGGCACTCATTTACATATGAGCTTCAGAACGAGATGAGCCACACGTGACTTCAAAGTTATGACAAAGAGGCCTGGAAAGCAGCAGAAAATCAAGGGGATTCAGGCATTTCAGGTGAAACCCTTCTGTGCAGAGGCTGCAGTCAGTGGCAAGCAGAGCTAAACAACCCCCTCCTTCCCAGCTCCCCTGTCAGAATCTGAAGAATAGGAACACACTGTAGAGATTGGGTTGGGAGGCCTGAGAGGCTCTGCCTTGAGGGAGTAGACAGACTTCAGGCTGTCTGCTTTGAAAGGACGTGGCACACCATCCAAAGAGAGGTGAGCTAAACTATGTGTGAGGAAGATTGGCAGAAACTCAGGAATGTGAGTGAGCTGTGAGAATTACAAACACTAGCTGAGCTATCACAAACGTACCTGAGAATATAGCACCTGTGTGGTTTCAAGTAGGAAGGTACTGAAGCACGTGCTAAAGAATGCTCCTGAATGAAGAATGAAAGGTCAATGAGGGCAGAGAGCAGCCCACTAGGAGACAGGGTGGGCAGGATCACCTCTTAGGAGAGATTCCTCTGTCAGAGCACACAGAGAGGCTTGCAGCCTCTTCTACTTTTCCCTTCAGACTGTGGGCAGCATCTAGAATTCAGGGTGGGATGCAGTACTGCCTGTTTAGGCAGAGGCCTGAAATATTGGAGCACCAATATTGCAAGCATCCTCAGGCTCTGCTGAGGGAGTGTTACAGCTCAGAAAGCCCCTGGAAGCCTGGCTGGGTTTGGATGAACTTGCAATGACAAGAAAATAACCCTTTCAGGTATTTTTCAGCTAAACAATTAGCAACTTGCTTATCAGGAGCTTCTGAGCAAGTCAGATGCCAAGACCAAAAAACTGAAGGCCTTCCCTGCTTCTCCCAGAGAGAGGAGATAGCAGGGCCAGCCTGGGCCTTTGCTCCTGCACACATGGGGAGCTCTCATGACCATCACCACCTCCCAGAGTGGCACTCAAGCCAGCTGGGAATCCTTGGGGTAACTGGAGGATGAATGAAGACAGAAAAGTTAAATCTGCCTGGCTTAGCTTCCCCTGCAGCCTGGTCCAGCCCCATCCTTACTCGGCTGCACTCAGCTCTAGGAACAGAAGACTGAGTACGCACACGAGCTAAGTCCTGATGTACACTGACTGCATGGTGTCCCACAAAGTACCAAGAGCTCTTCCTAAGAGGACAATGAGGTACCGAGAGACTGCAGAGATTCACAAGCTACTGCCTTCTGAAAATACTTGGCTACACAACCTGAAACAGAGGACATCAGTGACATGCTCATTGGTCATCCTAGATAGAAATCCTTTTGCAATGGGTGACGTGCTCAACTGTGCTCCCTTCCATCAATATAAAATACCAAATTCAATCCTTCAATAATTTATTTCTTTATATCTGAGAATGTTTTTCAATCATACATTTAAGTTTGCAAATTTCAACACAAGAGTAAATATACGTAAAAAAAATCCTGGATGTGCAAATTTCAAGTTGCATTGTTTGAAATAATATAAATATTTTAATAAACATATGTTCACATTAACATTAAAAATATATAAAATTTAACAGAAACAAGTTGAGTTATTTTAATTTTTTGCTTTTTTTTTTAATATCTAGAAAAAAAGATTCTAAGCTTGATAAGGAAATTAGAAAAGGTATCACCCCCAAAACAGCAGCAGCAAAATAGATACTGAAAACTTAAAAGGTATGAAAGGAGATAAGAGGGTATCAGGCACAACAGTAAAGGTAAATTTGCTGAAGTACTGCAGATTGAGACGTAAATGCGTGAACTCCAGAAGTAAAGTCTCGATCCTAAGGCACCCCATTGCCAAGCTCCAAGCTGTTAGGCACAATGTCAGAATCACATTAAGGATAACAGAAAGAAGTGAGAGAGAAATAGGGAGTGGGGGTGTGAACAGCAGCATGTGTATTTCTGACAGTGACAGAGAAGAAAGTTGCTTTGGCTTCAAAATTTGAAGATGCCTAAGATGAACAGCTTTTGTGTCTGTTTTTTCTTCTACTGCAGACAATTCCTTCCACATGTGAGGGGAACTGCAGGATTCTGACTTTCCATCACAAATGTGTAAAAGTTACTTCTGTCATCACTTTATCTTTCCAGCTGTCTTTGATTTTGGGAAAGGATCTAAATGCTGACCACTACTTGTCTTGTTTAAGATTGCAGTTTGCCAAGGGCTCTGCAATCCCAGAACCACTCACTGATACCATACCAAACGCCCGCACAAGCTCCAGCCTTGCTGAGTTCCACAAAAACAGAAGCAAGAAGTGAGCAAGCCAAAGCAAGTTTCTTCAGACAACCTCACTCTGTTTTGACTGCAAGTTACACCAGTCTGTCCTGGGGGATCTCTCTCAGCAAAGACTCGCCTCTGACCAGCATACATCAATACAGATTTCTCACACCGACGAGATGAGCTGTGAGTCCTCCTTGTATGGGTGCTGGGGAGGTACTGAGAAAGAGGCAGAATCAGGAAGCTCTTTGGAATGAAATGCTTCAAACTTCCAACTGAAAAGTCCAAGAATTAAATACAGCATGACAGGAGCTTATTCATGAAAGACAGCTTTGTGCAGAAAGCAACTGGCCCTGCTTAGCAGTTCTTGTATGCAGTGTTTAGAGGAAGTACGTACTTATTCCCATTCTTGGGAATAAACAGGAACATGGGCAGACAGGTTACATTTCCCCCCTAGCCCCTGCTCCCAGGACTGATAAGTGTTTTGGACATAGCACCATTTCAGTTTAGGAAGGAGCTGGTATCGCTTTCTTCTTCTTTACCAACTCTTCCTCTCTGCTAGCCGTAGATCTGTTTGAACTGGTAGCATTCATTGCAATAACCATTGCACTTGTTATTACCATAGTGGTCGCAAGCAGGGGCTCGACAGCGTTGCTTCGGAGGCTCATCTGTGGCTGGCTCCCTGGGACCCCCCAGCTGCACAAGCTGGCCAACGCGCTGGCACTGCTGGCACAGCTCACTGCTTCTGCAGGCCAGGTTGTTTCGACACGAAGCCACAGCACACTGTCTCTTCTGGCTAGTCAGTGCTGCTCGCTGTAGATCTCTGCGCTGTCCTGTTCTCTTGAAACACATTAAAAACGCTGTCAGTTGTCATGCTGGTAGCACAAGTGGCATTTCATTTACTTTCACCTGTGCTAATGTATTGTATATGGGACCACTGGGGGGTTGTTAGCAATCACAAACAACAAACACCACTGCAAAAATTGCAAGGGCTTTGGGAGACTGCTTTGCAAAGTAGAAAATTCAAACTGAAGCTATTGGGCTTTCCAGATCCTAAGATGACACATACTTCTTCTGAGGAGTAAAATACCAAGAGACAATTCAGGCCTTACCAAAGAATAGCATAAGTTTTGTCACCTCCTAGAAAAACAGTTTTATATCTTTGCTAATTCTCAATTCTAAAACCAAAACAAACCAAGTAAAAAAGCCTAGAAAAGAAAATCTGTAGTATGCTCAATGAAAAAAGGAACATGAAGCAGACTAAACCTCTTGATGCAATTACATAGCTCTCAAGGGATGAATGAAAATCCTTGTACAAACAGCAAACAAAGCAAACTGTGGGTACAGCTGCTTCCACTGAAATTGCTGGTCAAATTCCAGGTGGGTAAAACTAAGAACTGACAGCCACAATAATCCTAAATTGCGAATGACCATCAGAAGTACTGCTCAGTTGTAGCAAGCGGAAATCATGAGATGCCTTACACTAGTCTTCCCATGACACTTAGAAAATTCTCATGTTGCTGCATCCTATTACACGCTCTGAGTCACCCTCACAAGGGAAAAACATGCTAAACAAAAGGAAGGTTTTCAAAGTTCATACTTACTTCAGGCTGTCTTACTAGCTGCTCTTCTGTCCTTCTGGCTTCCTGAAATCGCTGGCTCTGGGCTTTAATGAAACAGTTCTGGCAGTAACCCTCCAGCATGGTGCTACCCAGGGTGCCACAGTTCTGCTGCTGGCAAGACATATTGTGGAAAGCGGCAGCTGAGCTCCCCTGTTGACCAGCTGCTGAGGAACTCCTCTGAGATCTCCTCTGATGGCGTAGTGAAGCACTGTCTGTAATGCAAAGAAAGGACAGGGGAAATGTGAATGAGCCCAACAGATTCTACGGCCCAAAGCGACTACAAGAAGCTCCTCAATTTGCAAAGAAAAAAAGCAAAAAATTGGCTCGCCCCAAACACTGAATTTGGACAACCCTGATACCTCTCAGTCAAAGCACATTCCTTCAGTTTACATAAACAAAGGGCTACTATAGACTGATCTTTACATCAAACAGCTGATTCAAGAAGAACCTGCTCACAGCGTGGAAACTGGATCTCACTAAAGACAAGGAAAATCACCATTGGTTTTAGAATGTCATCTGTGATAGATCCCAACTCTTCCCCTCTGTCCTCCTTCATTTCAGTCACGTGGGGTAGTGGAAGTACAGTAACACAGAGCTTAATAGGTTAATGCATCCTATACTTCTTAATCTAATGAGGCAATCATATATTCCACAGTCATAACAGTTTTCCTTGTGAACATTCAAAAATAAGCTTTTGCAAGCTAGTGTAATAGGTCCTTAATGTAAAAGTACATGGAAAGTGTAGCACTGACATGCCTGTCAGCAACAAAACTGTTTTGTGAGAGGAAAATACTACTTATCTCATGTGCCTTCCACCTTCTGTACCCAAAGGCACTTGCCTGTGTAACAGCAGCAGCATAGAAGTTGAAGATTTCACAACGTGATTTATTTACAGACTATTTTAGGGCTCAATTTTAAGCATGTATGTGGACTATCAAGAAACATTTCAAGGTCCATTATAACAATATACTCCTATGTTACTATAAAATACTTATTTTGGATTATCTACACATTATATTTGCACATTAACTACAGACAAATTCTGCTTGCTCTGTTTATCGAGGAGATTTCAGTCATTACTCCAGCTCATATCTGTTAAATCCAGAATGGATATAGATCTTCAAATTCATGCCAAGTTTTTAAAAAACTTTCCAAACACAATTGGTTTTCAATACAACATCACTTCCTTCACCAATTCCTACAACTGGTCTAGCTATGATGATATTTAATCTGAGAAGATTTATATCAAAACATGTATGGTTGCAAGGCATCAAAAATGGTGCTTGATTGACCAAGTTTTTCTTTCATGGAAGCCAATGGAAAGTTTTACAAGATTTCACATATCCCACACTGTTATTGCACACCTCTCTTTTGGGATAGTAATAGCCAATAAAGCACATTTTCCTCACACTGCTGCTTTTGCTACACAGTGTTTGTCACCTCTTGATCTTCTAGAGCACAGCATGTGCAAAACTTCAGTTTCACCATCTGCACCACATCTGACAAATCTCACATCTTCACTTACCATGGTTTTCCCTGTATTCAAAGAAGCACAGCGTGCAAAAGCCCTCATTCTGAGCTGTTCCAAAAAACTTGCAGCCAGGCTTCCTGCAGAGCTTACTTCCCTTCTTCTCTTCCAAAGTGTGTGGGGCATGAGGCAGTGCAGCCAACGGCAGCTCATCACAATTGTTGTTGGGAGCTTGCTGGCAGGAATGCTGAAGGAGGCTCTGTGGGATCTGGGATGGGTCAGATGTAGATCTCTGATGGCACGTGGGTACAAAACCAGGGCTGCCATTCGAGGAGCGCTCTGTAGTCCTTTTGAAACAAGTGCTGCATATGCCATTAAATGTCCTATTGGCCTTCTGAAGGCAGACTTTACACGTGGCATAGTCCAAACATCTCTGGTCATCTAAATTATTACAAGGAGCAAGCTGTCTGGCATTGTAGCAGCGTTCACAAAGTCCGTTGTGTTGCACGTTTAAGGTGAAGGGGCAGTCTGGAGTCCGGCATTTCATGGCAGTGGTTTCACTATAGAGGAAAAGGCTGGGAGCAGTTGGGGGTGCAGAGCGAGGCCCTGTTACAGCCTCCTCAGACATCCACCCCCCAGGTTCACAAGCTTTACCACAGCCCGACCCAGCTGCCTTCAGTTTCTCAGGTGCTGCTTCAGAGACCTGCTTTCTTCCTTTGTTTCCTTGTGACCTCCGCTCATAGCACTCGTGGCAGTAGGGCTGGGTGTTCACAGACATATAGAAAGGGCAGTTTGGAGTTTCACATTTCACCTGTAAGAGGGAGAGCTGGGAAAAAGACAGTTCCTGTCTGTTCCTGGAGCAGGCCTCTTTTCTGGCAGGTTCAGCATGCTCCTGCCATTTCTTGTACTCATGCTGCACCAGTTGAAAGTAATCTTCCACAAGATTTATTTCTTTGGGCAGGTTGCCTTCATCCAACCTGACAGACAAAACAAACAAATAAATAAATAATATACACATACACAAAAAAAAAAAATATGGTTGAAAAGGCCAGATAGTAGGGGTGGAGGCAAATATAAGCGACATGGGGAGGAAATTGAGATTTAATATACATCCATGTTACTCAGCTAGAAGATCCATGATGTTAAACTGTTGCTGTAAATGGAAATAATTTGAAAAGCAGGTGTTCAGTGATGTCAAATAGAGACTTTCACATCTAAAGAAATGGTCTCACACAGTGCTAAACGGAAGTATTCTTGAAAGGATTTTCAAGGTGAGGCTTTTCTGTCTCTGAATGCTGTTTGCAGGAAGAATAGTCGGATAATCTTTCAGAAATAAAAAGAAAATCCCCCAAATTCTAAATTTGTCTGAAGACCAGTGCTTAGTAGAGTTGAAACTAGAGTGTCCTCTTCTTCAGCCCATGCTAAGAACATATCTTCCATACTCTAGACACAATACTTCATGATAAACTTCATTACGAAACCTGCTCCTGTTTTTGCCTCTGGGGTCTGTAGCTACTAGTCAAATTCTTCAAACAAACTAGGTGGTGTCAGTTCAGTATGTGCACCGCTAGTACTCCTAGCAGAATCCCTACCCAAACCCTGACAGCAAGGAAAATCCCACATTGCAGCTTTACCATGCAGTAGTTTGGAGGATGAGGAGCTAGTGTTGCTAGCATTACTCAAGAGCATATTGGGGCAGCAGGAGAAGCTTGATTACTACTGCATTTATCCTTTGGGTATTAGGCGACCAAAGCAGAACAACTCGACAGCACAGAGATATCTCTGCAGGCTGCAATGGAAGTAATGACAGTCATAAAGGGGCAGGCAGACACCACTGCCAGAGATCCCCACATGCAAGAAGCTGGCGGTTGCAGTCAGTTGCTCAACATGTTGCTGACTGCCAGGGGCACGAGGGCAGATGCCAGCTCCTTCACTGGCCACAGCTTCCTGCCTGCTGCACTACCACAGGAACACAGCCTTTCAAGGCATCTATGCTTCAAAAAGATTGCCAAATATTTTCCCCAGCATAAACAGAACTACACCACGTACACTTCAGGCAGTTTTCCCTTCCATAAAGTGCAAGAGTTCTGTGTAACCAGTTCCTGGTCTTAACTGCTTTCCAGCCACTTTCCTAAGCAATCTAAAAGTCAAAGAAAGTAAGAAAGTAACCCATTGGTTTTACTTTTCTAAAATATTAGGCTCAAGCTGCTAAGTCTGAAAACATTTTTGCCTTTGAATATGGTTAGAGCTCAATACTACTTAGAACTGTATCAATAGAAATGCCAGTATTTTTTATTGCAGAGGATATATACTGCCAAATATATAGGAATATACTGCCAAAGTAGGAAAGATGAAAAGCACACAAGGCTGGATCCTACCACTACCTTAAACAACTGTGGAAACAGAAATGACACTCACTTTGCAGCATTAATTAAATGAGTTGTGCCATGATCCCAGCCTTGCACTGGAATTTCTATGACTATCAAGTAGTCTTTCAGCAGCTGCTCCTTCTCCCTCTCCTCTGCATCTGTCAGAAAGTGCACGTTCAAATCCTCGAATCTGCCTCGTTCGCTGGTGACCAGAGGGACAGCCCGGATTTCTGTGTGGAAACATAAAGGTTTAGCATAGATATTTTATCAGATGAGAGTAGGAGATACAACACTGCTACTGAACTTCGGGGAGACAAGAGAAGGGCTGGCAAGACCGATTGGTTTCTAAAGAGCACAAATGAGAGAGGAGACAGACAAGCCTCCAGACTACAGATCAAACCTCATCCCACTGCAATTCTAATGTCCCCATAATTGTCTTCTCACTGTTGGAAGTATCATAGATCTTACTTCACTGCATATTTTCATGGAATGACGCCCTAACCTGAACCTAGAGAACTGTTACACATTCAGAAGAAATACATACTTTGCCATCTTCAAAACATCTCATCACATCTGCTAGGCAGCAGCACACAGGTGTGAGACCATGTCCTTCAAAGCTTTTCATGGAGGGGCATAAAAAGGAGGCCAGAGCACTGCAAAGCAGAGGCCACCATTTGTCTTGTCCAAGCCTTGATGCAGGTGAGCTGTGCTCCCTTTTCAGCTGGCATTTTGAAGACAATCTTTAGTTTCTTTTCAGATTTACAGACAGCTGTTTCTGTTTTAATTTTAACGATGTATTCCATAGGAATCTTCTACATCAATTTTAAGTTTCAAAAAGCAAATATAAACCAGGTTGTATTTTAAATTCTTTAGCAGCATAACAAAATTGAAGGCCCTATGCAAATACTAGATAATGTACATGAAAAATACCTGGCCCACTGTCCTTCAGGGTCACAAGTGGTGTAAAATGCATATTGTCATAGCCGAGCACAATTGGATATCTGTAGCATTCTTCAGCTGGCCAGAGGAGTGGCAGGTAAACACCACCAACGTTCAGAGGAGCAAAACTGGAGCCTGATTCTAAACTTCTCACAACTTTATCTACATAAGGGAGAAAAAGAAAATCTGTTAAGTTGGTGCAGTTGGCAAAGAGAAAAAAACATTTGGGGTACATCAGAAATACTGCCAGTTCTGAAAGATGCCTACCTGAAAACAGCAATTAGCAAGCTCAGATTACTAATAAAGCACAGACTAATGCAGTCCTTAATGAAGGATGACATGCTGGACAACTCACCTGCAAGGACAACGATTGGTCTTCTGAGGATATTAGCAAGAACAAAGATGTGGATTTCTTCCAGTGCATTATAAGGAAGTCTGTTTCGAGCGCCAGATGTTTCCGGGGAGGTCATTTCAATGAGGTACTCCCACTCCTCCTCCCAGTTCTGAGAAAAAAAACATCCATCAGTTCAAAACCAGTCCAAAGACACAGGGGTCAGGAACCAACCGCAGCACTCAAAATATTTACGTTTTCCCATTTTCTCCAAAAGAACAATATTTCTGTTCTTCAACTAACAGTGGAATACGTGAAGCCAAAAATGAAAGAAAATCAACAAGGCAACACTGACAAGCATTCAGGAACCAGCGTGATCTCCCAGGCCTCCTTACCCGGGTGTCAAAGTGGAGTCCTGTTTGCACAAACTCCTGGGATTTAATAGCCTCCCGCTGCCAGCGCAGCTTGAAGTTCTGTGTGTCAGTCTCCCTGAGTGCACTAAACAACGTTTTCCTTAAGACGAGGTCAACATCTTCAATACCCCACATGTACTGCGATGCAGCGTGCATGAGGCAATTTCCATCACCTGCATAAAAAAAACCAACATTGTTTTTAAACAGCTATTTAAATACAACCTCACCAACACATGAGATGTGGCAATACACAGCAAATACACATATTCCATGTGCACTTCTCACTAAGGCTCTGCCAGAAGGCTTTTCTCAAGCAGATCACAGCTAAGAATGCTCTGCTCAGGAGAATAAAGCAAGTTGTTTCCTTTCCTCTGGTTGTCCCTTCACTGCTCAGTAAGCTGCCACTCAGCAGTGGCAGGAAACTTGCTATTTATTTAACTTGGACTGATACCACAAACTGAATTTTGGGTTGACTGCCAAGGTCAAACATAGTTGAAATTGCTTTTAAACATAATTGAGTCACTTTAAAAGTACAACAGAACGTGTAAATCTCCTTCACCAACGCTTACAGTAATGTATTCACTCAATGGCATAGGGTTGAGGTAATGGAAAACACTAAGAATATCCTATAGTAACAGCAAGCTTCACTTCCTCTGACAAGGGCTGCTGTGGTAGGCCTTGCTCGGTGGAGGAATTACAAAGACTGAGAGACAGTATGAGATTTCTATGAAGTAATTGTAGGAACACCTCTTGCCTTCCTCTCAGTACTGACAGCTGTATGCTGCACTGCTGAACGTTTAAGCTTTGCTTTCCTAAAACACACAATTAACATTAGCTAAATGAAAAACAGTGATTTGTTTTCCATTCAGACAATCCCTTTAACTGAAAGAGTCCTCCCTACATGTAGGAAGAAAAGCAGTGTTCTGCAGTTTCAGAGGGGAGGAACTGAGAATCAGATTGGTTAATTAACTAAATTAAAAGGTGTGACAAACCATGCCTACGGCTGGAGTTCAAATTCTGCTTCTACCCATCCTCTTCAATAGCCTTTTGAAAGGGAAATACCAAGAATCATTATGGTCATAGAATGGCCTGGGTTGAAAAGGACCACAATGATCATCTGGTTTCCACCCCCCTGCTACGTGCAGGGTCGCCAACCACCAGACCAGGTTGCCCAGAGCCACATCCAGCCTGGTCATGTCATGGCCCCAGATGCAAAATTAGGTCTGGTGTTTAATACAGGGGGAAGCAGTTTCATCAAAAGTTAAGAAACCACAGTGATTTCCTTGGAATAGAGTACATTAACTATCATAGAACTGCAAGATTTTTCTCATACTGGAGTTAAAAAAAGACTACCACCACACACACACACTTGAAACCATGCATTATACGTAACGAGCTCAAGTAAGTCACTGGATGAACACTTCTGCTATTTTTTCTGATATGTCAGAGAAAAATCTACGACAAACACCAAAGCAATCACTTGAGAGGTACTTCACATTGTATAAACTGTTATGGACTCCTTGCACTCCAGGCTTCTTACACTGGCTTCTTGTTTCTGAATGACATCTTGCATAGCTTACCTAAAGTCTGCAGCCTGCCTGTTTGAGCTAAAGAATTCAGGGAGCAACATATAATATAGAAAAACTGTCTGGGTTTCCTTCTGAACAAGAGAGATGAGATATTAATCCCAGCAAAATTTTCCCTTTGCAAAATCTAGAGCAAAGATAAGATTTATTTTTTTTTTTTTCTTTCAGAGCTGACTTTCAGTTCTTTATTGAGAAGCACCACACCAAATTCCTTACACAGCACTTGGAATTCCCCAGCGCTATTTGACTAGCAGTTGAGCAACAGCCGTACTTTTTGTTCTGCTGCCCGCACAGCTGAACAGCAAAGCCTCCCTCGGACTTTCCCGGGGGTGTGGCTGGGTGAATTGGAATGAATGCCTATTCATTATACAAGTGAAATCGCAGCAGCCAATAGATGATGGAATTTTTGGTGTGTGTTGTTTTTGAAAAAGCAGTTTCCATTTTTGTGCCACCTACCGCCTTTCCTCCTATTCTCCCTGCACACGTCCGCAAATAAACGTGTAGCGATTCGAAAGTTGGGGTTTTTCTTATGCCATAAGCTCACGTACGTGTGAGGTAAAAATAGACATTAAAAGATCCTACAGGAGAATCGCTTTCTTTGTTTTGAACAATCAAAACTGTCAGAAAGAAAGAACACAGATTTTTCTTAGAAAAAACCCATCAGTGACTGAAGGAACTAATGCATTCCTCCCACATCTCCACGTTGTGCAGTTGCATGCTTTTAAAATATTCTTCACGCCATGTGGAGAAAAAAAATAGCTCACTTTTTTTTCCCCACTCACTTGAATAACATTATTTTACAGGCTAGCACAGGGATTCTCCAGGCTTCCGTCCTGTTTTTCAGGGATCACTCCTTCAGCCCAGTTTACCTTCCCCCTTGTGCAAAGCTGTGACTACTTTGCATAAACCGCAGGCTCTCAGCGCCACTCCTCCCTCCTTTCCATGCCCTCAGCGACCTTACAGCACCGAACCCACACCATGTGCACAGCACTGGCTGCGTGAGGTATGGAGGGAATACAAATCAACCTCTTGACTTTGCCATTCCTAAGCCAGCCCCAGTATTTCAGCATCCTATATACTGGAACACCTACTCACTAGATGGAATGCCAGTCCACAAGTTTGTAACACCGTTGTGCATTCCTGACACAAGGACCTGACACAAGGGACCCCATTCATGGAGTAACCTGTAAGCAGCAGCAACTGCCTGCCCAGTCAGTTATTGAACCCTGCAGAACTCCTACTACTATCAGATGTGGGATTCCAAAACCCATGCACTTTGCTGCGGACAAAAGCTATGTACATTGACCATTTTCATGGAAGATCTGTTAAAGCATATCCAAGAGGAGCAAAACTTTGAAGGCTCTATATATGGAGCAATGCCACCCTCCTGGGACTTGCCAAGCACTGGCTGCCCTAGCTGAATTCCCAGTCCTCCTGGAAGTTCAAGATTATGCAGCCTTTAAGGGCGCTCAACTGCAGCCAAATGCAGATGCAGCCCATAAAGCCCACCAAAAGTTCAGTGCTTCTGTTACAGTGACAGATGTGTACCTCTGGACTGGGCTCTTCAAGGTCAGAGCAGTTGCATCTACATGGTGGTTCTGTCTTTATGGCTTTTGTGAAGCACGGCTGTGTACAATCAGACAGGGAAGAAAAGACTTAGAAGAAAAGGTTTAGAAAAACAAGGACTATGTGTACATAAACAGATCAGAAAATAAACACCCAAAGAGCACGATGCTGGGACTTGAACCAGGCTGAAGGCCCACCACGTCCAGTGTTTCTACAACCAGTGTCACCTGCTCCCTGAACAAAAAATCTCTATTTCCCATGTTCTTGGATTCATCACTCTCCCAGTCTACGTTCCCAGTTTGGGGCTCTCTATACAGCAGAGAATCCTGAGTCTGAGTTTGCAGCTGCATGATCATAACTCATAACTGTTACCAAATCTTTCCTGCATTGAACGTGAAATCCTAGCAATTCTCACAGTCATGTGCTAAATTTTCCTGCGTGATTATATGGCTTCTTGTACCCTACAAAGAAATATTTGTACTACCTCTATTTCATTTATAGCATCTGATACAATAAGCATAAAGTAACCCTACAGAGAAGTCATATAGCCAGCACCAACCTTTGAGAGAAAAGGCCATTAATTTTTGCTGCCCGAGGCACGTGGAAGAATGGCTGTCAAGCCCTAAGGAAAGGCAGAATCTCGCAAACCCTGCTAAGTAGCTGAGCACCAGGGAGCTGGCTGTGTGTAGAGCTCAGCCTGCTGCAAGCGAGGTCAGCTTGGCAGAGCTCCACAAGGGTGCTACTATCTGGCCTGTATACAAGGAACAAATCCCTGCTGCTCAAAGCATCCCAAACCTCCACCTGCCCAGCGTTAAGGGCTGATCACTGCTTCTAATAGAAGAGCTGACATGTCAAGAGTCAGGTCCATGAAACAATGACAGAACAGTGCTCTCGCATGCTATTTTTCCTCTGACATGCCAGAAGTTACTGATGTTATGAAAATACCTGAGAATTTTTCAGGCCACTCATCATGCCATGAGATGGGCGGGTGATTGCTATAGACTCCAGACAGCATGCCACCCGGACAGAATTTAAGCTTACACAACTAAGATAAAACAGATCCGTATTACCTATTTTAAAGTGAGTGCAAAGACCTGCTCACAGCTTACCATTAGTTTTCAAAGGCACAAGTCTCCTGACCTCCATGCACCAGTTCAGCTTCCTCTGGCGCTCCAGCGAAGTCTGGGTGGCTTGGTCAGTCAGGGCCTTCTGAAGCATTTCCCGGAATTGAGGGCAAAACTGGCACATTCTGAACATTTCTATAGTGTATCTGTGCATAGTCCTGAAGTGGTGAATTATTCCACTGGGAGGTCTGACCAGATCTTCAGGTGTCCTCTCTCTAATCTTCACAGCCTTCAGCATGTTGCTCTGATACAAAGCCTGAGGAAGGATGTGTTGGCCAGCCATGTTCCTAGACAAAATCTGAAACGAAAAGTATTCTCTTACTGACTTGTTAATTGCCCTTGCTCTGCAGCGCTATCAGTTTTGCAGAGATTAAGAACACACTTCTATATGTGGAATTCTAGTTGCTGTTTTGACTGTAAAGTACATAGAGTGGATGCCATCCACTGAGACTTATGCAGACCATTATTTTTAAAGTTCACCTCCGTCAGCCTCTCTGCATTACTCAAAGATAACTACTGAAGAGCTTATCCCACCCATTTATTGTGATCATTTGTTGAACTACTGAAGGGAGTTAATTCATCACTAAGGAGATTACGTCATTGTACAAAAAAAGGCAATCAAATGAAAGCAAGGGTAGAAAAAGGCAAGATCAAGGGAAGGAAAAACTATCTTGGAAACTTAACTAATTGATAATTGCACAGTGTAATACCATATGAACTTGCTGAACTTTCAGCACGTTCCAAACTCGTGTTTTGATGACATGCCAAAAAACCAGATAATGTCCATTTCAGATTTCTGCAGCCCATGCATTCTGATGAGGATGGTGGGTATAGCATAAAAAGAGCCTGGATATCACATGCCGTGCTAGATTCTGTCCTATACTTACATTGGCTGAAGATGGTAAAGGAGGTATTAGTGGCAGACCAAGCACCCAGGGACAGACCTGCGTTACCCTTCTCGAGGCTCCTTCTGTTTTGTGAGCAGAATAGCACTGCAGAGGTGCTCGTGCAGTGTGTGGGGGTGCAAGCTGTGGTGCCACTATTACTCAGCGGTAAGTCAACATCGCTGAAAAAGCATTTCCACTTGGCTCAAAAACCCCAATACTTTTCCATAGTGGGACAAGCAGTGTTTACTGCCCCGTATCCCTTTCTTCAGTACCTCTGGCTTGATGGGCTACAGCAGGAAGAACAAAAAAAAACAACCCATAACCTCAAAGTATCTGTAGTCTGATATACTCATTCTGGGCATGCTAACTCTGTGGCTAGCTGCAGGCAGACGCAGGGACCACACTCTCACATCCCACCTGTGCACTGCAGTAACACCATGAGCTTTTGTTTTTATATGGAGAGAGTACATGCTGTCCACATGGACTACTGCTCTGCTCACAAAGCCAAATTTCTATCAAGCAAAATAAAGGTTTGCATACCTAACATTTAGAATTCAGTTGGTTACACCAGCAGCGAGGATTATGAATTTAGGGACAAATACTAAATCACAGGTGTATATCAAGACCTCAATACATGCCACACCAAGTATAGGGTGACCAGAAACAAGAGAAAGCTTCCCAACAGCTGCTTCTCATCTTCCCCTAACCAATATATTTTCTTACACACCACTCACATAAATCATCCATACATTTAAACATAGGATTGAGGAATGACATATAAACATATTAACCTGTCTAATAACCACAGCTCTGCTTTGCACAGAGATGGCCAGAGTACTGAATTCCTAAGTTACGTAAGTAGAGTGATTGAGTCAATGAGGTTTTTTTTACCCAAATAAAGACTTATCAGATGATTAATCACTACTGGCACAGACCCTTGAAGTGGTTATTTCCAGCTTTAGGTAACAAAAAGTACTGAGTTTACAGAAGCGTTCACTGGAACTGTGAATTCAATGTTCTGTAATATTCTACGGACGTTTTCCCCTTCAGAAGTGGAAACTACTGTTTGTGCCATTTACATCGAACATCAATCAAGGCAAAAAAAGAACAACCCTGACTGTGAGAAACAGAGCAGTGAAGCAGCTCAGCAGCCACAGAAGCTAACAACTCAAAGCACATTAAGACTTTAGAAGCTGTATTGGCTTTCACTGCACTGTACTTCTCTGCATGGCCACGCTACTATCACCTTTTAGCATGTAATTATTGAGTTTGCAGAAAAAAGAAAAAAAAAAAAGGAGGAAAAAAAAAGCTGGGAAAAGTGCAGCATATAGTTCTGCAGCATATAATATGGAAGATGCTGGACTGGGGGAAATCTGCGTTCTGTTCTGAAACGTGGCAGAGTCACGCTCCAGCTCTGTCCCCTAAACCAAGAAGCCAAAGGTAAACTCCTGCCGGCCGGACCTGCAACGAGGCTAAAAGCGTCTTGCAGCCTCCAATCTCCGTCACTCGGAGGCGCGGGCTCCAGCAGCCCCAGCCGGGCCTCCCAGCCGGCTGGACGCGCCGCTGCTGAGCGCAGCCCGCCGCCCCACGCTCTTCCTGCAACCCCGGCCCGCCGCCAGTCAACAGAGGGCACAATTCCACCGCCCGCCGCGGGACCGATAACAAAACCTCCAGAAATGCGTCGGGCAGCTTCTCCCCGCCTTAGCAGCGCTCACCTCTCTACCGGCGAGCTCCTCCGGGCACGGGATCGATCCGCCGGTGAATGCTGTTCAGCAGCCGGGCCGCGGCGAAGGCACGCAGCCGGGCTCGGTCGCCATCAACGAGCGGCCGGCAGCAGGCCTGGGTTGACCTGGCCGCGTTCCCGTCCGCCGCCCCCCTCTCCGATGCGGAGCTGCTGCCGCCGCTACCTCTGCCGCGGAATGAAGGGCTGAGCTCAGCCTCTTGTTTTCTTTCCCCTTTCTGTTTCAGCGCCTGGACAGGAAAAAAAAAAAAAAAAGAAAAAAAAAAAAAAACAACAAAAAAAAAAACCCCAGCGGGGATTTCCACCGTCAGCGCTTGGGACTTTCCGACATGTGACAACAGCAGCGCCGGCACCGCCGGATCCTCGTGCCGCCGGCAGGGGGCGCCGCAGCGCTCTCTTCGCGCACAGCGGGCTCCGGGTGCCGCTGGAAGCGGGGCAGCTTGTCTTGTGGACGCGGCAGCGAGGCCAGGCTGCTGGTCCAGCAGAGTGGCCTGCAAGGCCCTCGGGCATGAGGCTAGTGCAAGGGAGGGAGGCGCCATGCTGGGCCCGCGGCAGTGCCCTTACAACCGCACCGCACTGTAACGGCAGTGAGAGAGGCTCAGTGTTGCCCTGCAGTTGTTTCTTCTCTCTCCTTTAATTAAAGGTTTCGCTCTCGGTACATAATCGCATAGCTCTGTGTTAACAGGCTCTTATCCAGTCCTGCTCAGGGCAAGGGTCAGAACTGCAGACTGAGGCTATGGAGGTCTTCCTGCTTGAACTGCTGACCACCTTTAATGACTGCAAACACATAATTCACATCTTTAAATAGCATCCTAAAGCCTGTACAATGGAAAAAGTCTGAATAAAACACTTAACTTAGGGCCTCTAACTAAAACCTACAGATGTGATCTCAAGTGCAAATGGGCAGCTCCTTGCTTACAAGGCTTGTAACCTGCAGGCAGACAGAACCAAAGTACAACAGTATTTTTTTCAGTCCTAAAAGGCTTTCTACAGATGCTGAACGCCTGCCGATACCATAGGTCCCACTGACTAGATGAGAAGGTGGGGTTGCCCCATGCCTTGAAATCTGGCCTGTCACAGAACAGAGGGATCTGGGGAGAGCTCACATCTGAGCTTCCTTGTCTCCATTAGCATCAGCTGGCTCAGTCCATGCCCTTGTGGCATCTGTGCAACTCTGTGACAGTGTGCTCCTTCTCGCTTCTGAAAGCCATGCATTTGGCTCTGTGGTTTGCTGTTACCCTTTCTCTGCCTAAGAAGAGGTAGGAAGGCTCTGCGCTTACTGATAGTCTGAGGGGCTGACAGATCCAGGAAGGCTGGGTGCCTGAGGAACTGGGTCTGAATGATAACTTACATAACTGGGGCTGCATCTGGGGTGTGGTTTACTAAGTGTATGTTTCCTGCAGCAGTGAAGTCAGTTTAAAAAAGAACTTGCCATTCCCTGTTCCTGGGTGTTTTTCTTTGTAACCTTCATTTGTGCTGAGGTACTGGATTACTGAAATGATCTGATTAGAAACCAGCTATAAGTGTGTATTTACGTATATATAAATACATACACACACATATATATAAACAACCAAACCATTTTCCCCTGGTGATTTGATGACAGCTCACTCATTCAGTTTTAGAGAGAGCATTTAAAGCAATGGTGGGTTTCACCGTGTAGTGGGAATGAGGAGCTAGGGTAAGAAATGTATAATGGACTGATGTATGTGCTGCTTTGTGTAAAACTGCAGCAAACAGATTAGTAAGTGGTTCTAGACTCTTCTGTTGTTTTTTTTGGGAGGGGTGGAAGGGGGGGGTTGTTGTTACAACATATTAAAAGGAAAATGAGTGTGAGTAAAAAGTTCTGCAGGTAATAGCTGTGAGCCTATGAGGGAAATACATAATCTAAGGAAAAACTGAAAAGACAACAGCTTATTTTTGTTATCCTAAGCTCTGAGCATATATGAATATTCAATTACTATCTACACCTTGATAAACTAAATGCTGATTGCATGTGGCTAAGGCTAATGTTTATCATGCAGGTCTGAGCAGGATGGCAGGAATTCACTTGATGAGTTTGCACAGCACAAGACGAAGCTCAGTCCTATCAACCAGATCTCCTAGGCAATATAGCAATACACATAAAAGCATCAACTTCATTGATAATTATTGAATAATGCATGAATATATATTCTATTTTTCAGATTTACTCCTCTGAGCTGTAATTATGCTCCATAGTTAATCCCACCATTTTGCTGAATATAAACATTATATCAAAATATAAACATATATATGTATGAGAGAAGGACATTTTCTTCTTTGAAGTGTGTTCATGTACACACATACATGTATTTAATACATATTTTTATGCATCTATATATGTAGACGTGTCTATCATAGGGAATGGGGAACTTCCCCTTGTCATCGAAGATAGGTGAGAAACAGTGAGCTTAAGTTGCAGCTACCTATATTCTGGTAACGTATAAGGGAAAAAGAAATGCTTACATGTGGCAAAGTTAGCATAGCTCCAGAACAGGCTATGCATAGCAGCTGCAGAATATCCATCGTAGGAGAATATTGAAGTAATTTGTTTGCACATCAGTCAACTATTAGTATTGTACCTGGGAAGAGGAATTAATCTCTCAAGAGGTCTCATTCAGCTCTGTTTCTTTATATTTTATTATTCTACTTCTTATTGTTCAAGAGGGAGGAACTCATGCTTACTAAATTATACCAAGCCTTCAGTGTGTTCAGAACACTATCACCAAATGTTTTAGAAATTGCATTAGGAAAGATTGTCATAATGGGATTTCTATAATATTCTATCACAGGATGATGACTATGATAATATTTGTGGATAGTGCCATTCAGGCTTTAATAGTTCGATAACCAGCCAGGTCTTTTACTATCAGGTAATTCTGTAAGATGTGTGATTCATAAAAGGATCATAAAAGGGAAATCCCTACTATTGCAATAGCAGTGCTTGAGGTCATGCTGGAGTTCAGCACTTCTGGCTTCCAGAAGCTCTTTCATTACTTCTTTTCCTGGTGGAGGAGTGATGAGAAGGTCTTGCCAGTATAGAGGAGAAACAGAGAGGAAAATCCCTTAAACCTGTAGGCAGAAAACTAGAGCTAACTACTGAATTAAGTAGTGATGGTTAAAGAAAAGAAAAAAAAAATTACTTAAACTCATCTCTGCCATTTAGAAAGAGCTGAACTGGTTTTATTAATTTTCCATTACACTCATCTAAATACGGTAAGAAAAACTCCAGATTCCCAGGGAGACCTCTAGTATATTTTGTGGCAAGGGACAGCTCTTAGTTATGCCACTGGACCAAGCTTTCCTTTGCTTTTCTTCTGCTTTGTGAGTGTGTGTGTTCTTATTAATCTCCATGCTAAAAATATCAGAAATAGCAGTGCTGGTATTGCAGTGCTGCAATGGATTCCAAAGAAGCTGAACGTTCAAACCTTGCTTTAGCGACTTCTGTTGAGTTGTAGGTTAAAGACCAAGAATAATATCGTACCATTAAGGCTGGTGACGCATTCCAGTATATTACCTGTGGAGGCAAACATTTGACATTCTATTAGCTAGAAGTATCTGCCTTGTGGCATGAAGGTAGTGGGCAAAGTAGAATCTTGAAGTGTTTTTCCAGCATTGTGATGTGACATTCTGTGATAAGTGTGAAAAAGTTTGCAGTGGTGATAGTAATATCTTTCCAGCTTGATCCTTTTTCTTTTTACGTTCCTCTGATATCTATCTGGATATCTGCTGGATCAAGCCTCAGGGCCTGTGAAAACTGCAGAGGCAATAAGCTGTGTACATGTATAAGACAGCAGCAAAACTCAGTGTGACTGACCCTCTGCAGTGCATGATACAGAGAATTCTATTAATTCTATTCTATACAGAGAATTCTATTAAGCCCACAAAAAGAAATAAAAAGAGACCAAAAATATTTTTGCCTAGGAGAGCAAAGTGCTTTCAGTGGATATTGAAACAGGCTGAGACAGAGCTTGTGGCTGAATTGAAGAAAATTAGAACAGCTGTAGTAGGCCAAATCAAAGGTTCATGTAGCTTAGTGTTGCTTCTCACAGTGGTTAAGAAGATGCCTAGGAAAGAGTGAAGAAATTGCATGGGTTGTTCCTAATAATTTTCCGACCTGCACTTTGCCACAGTTTTTCTCTGGGAATTTGGTCTGTCGCTTTTTATTCTAGTGCCTCGTTTTCTTGTTTGTACAGTAAGTTTAAGAATGTTGGTTTTTATTTCTCAGCTTTATGTATACTATTGTTTTGGCTACAAACTCTTCAGGGGAGTCTTCTGTTGTATTGTGTTTGTCATCTCTTAACAATGAGACGCATGGATGCCACACACATTTAGAAAGCATGTTCCCTGCTTCAAGAAAGTTACTGACCAAGTCTCTTGGATGTGAACTATTAACATCATAATGGCCTTTGATATAGGTTGAGGGTTGTAAGCATAAAGCACTGCATAGATAATGCTTTGAAGGAATGAGTCCTGCACAGAAATGGTCTTCTCTCTCTAAAACATAGTAGTCAGCATGCCTTAAAGCATGTGACTGTCTTTAGGTAGTGCAAGCTCACTTATTTTAGCCATTACCTTGTGCACCACAGCAGAGGGATCTGAAGCAAAGCCTGAATTTCTGAATTGTTTCAGTTGACAGTTCAGCATCTGTAAATCAGCAATTGGTTAACAAATAAATAGTCAATGCCTCGTGTGTATTTTGATGGGAACTACTGTTGTTTTCCTTTCTTGTAGATTCCCTTCTGTTGTGGTCACATAAACATCTGTTCTAACTTTAAGTGTGAAGTAAGCATTTAACAGAGCTGTGTCCTCTGGGAGTAAATGAGGAGGGCTGGGGGGATGGAGCTAGCTAATGCTTGCTCACCAGTTTAAAGCCCTTACTCCTCCATTCTCTGTTCCCTGAGCAGTTTCAACGCATAGTTGCAGTCATAAGTCAGCCTACAGTTCAGCAGACTTGTCCATATTAGAGGTCCTTAAAATGCCACTGTATCTTAGCTCCTTTTCTCAGTGAAATCTAGTCACTAGGGAAGTTTTTGTTTTCTCCCAGAAAGTAAAATCTATATAGTAAAAGTCAGTGCAACATTTTCTCATTTATTCTAGATATTTCCAGTAACGTATTTTCTTATGGATGTTTCCACTTATTAAGCCAACCTTACATTCTTTAAAATCAATAAAGCTCTTTTAAACTGTGGTTAACTTCAATGTGATTTTTGAATATGTGAGTGAATGACTCCGTTTCTTCCTCCGTGACTTCCTTACTAACATGGGAGAACTGTAGACACTGTTTTCTATACTCAACAACTCTCAACAGTGGGATTATGTAG